TTTTGTGAAAATTAAATTCCTCTTCATAGATTCAATGAATGGAAGTTATAAGGACGGAAAATTCCTACGTCACAACGCCGTCTGTAATTTCACTTTTGTATAAGAAAGGTGACCGAACCAATTTAAAAAAAACTGGTAACCCTAATGGTCTTTTAAACATTGATTATAAAATAGCTGCCAAAGCTTTAGCAAGTGTTATAGGAAACATCATTCAAGAAGATCAGTCCGGTTACATCAAAGGAAGATGCACAGGAACAGTATAAGATTAATTGATGATGTCCTTCATTTTTAGTAATTTACTGATAGTAAAAGAAAGGACAAAAATATGGCAATTCGCTTCTTAGACTATGTAAAGGCTTTTGACACAGAAGAATGGGACTTTCTATTAAAATCGCTTATAACATTCAAATTTGGATTAAACTAGATCCGCACAATGTATACAAATATCCAAGTACAATGATTAACAATGGCCATATGTCTCAATTTTGAAAGGAAGCCTTAGGCAAGTGTGTCCTCTCTCTGCATTGTTATTGCTTATCACTGCAAACATAGCTCGATTGTTTTCACATCTAATAAGAAATAGACTATTAAGTTAAATATTTTCATTTGGATATATTCATGAAGGGCAGAAAAGTTCAAAATGTATACCCTTTGGAGTGAATTCATCAAAACAACATAGGAACTGGCCTTAGGTGTAACAAATCTTGGGGAACAAAAAAAACCTGGTGGGACACAATAATAATGGTCCCGGGCACTTTTATACCTAGGTAATTCTGTCTCCCGGACAGTTTTACCGGGGGTAAGAATTACCGTCTTCACCAGCAAATTTTCCCAACACATGAGGGAAGGTAATTCTCCTCTGCTTTCGTCCCGTGGCACTTTTAAATAGGAAATTCTGTCGCCAGGACAGTTTTACCGGGGGACAAAATGACCGCCGCAATTGTTCCCAACAATTATGAGGAAGGGTCATTCACCCCCTCTATCGACGGCCGGTTCAACAATACAAGTGCGCCTTCGGTGCTCGTTTTAAACTTTGCTATCTTGTGAAAACTCTCGACTATCAAAACGTGCTTTAATTGAACACAATTAAGGATTGAAATCCTATAGGGGAAACAAAAAGAGGAAATGTCATTTAATTATTTATAAAAGCGTTTGAAAACTTTTTATCTTGTTGTCATTATTGTTTAGTATTCTCCGGCCGTTCGTTTTATCGCGCAGTAACGCAAAATAGCCCTTCATTTTGTCCTTGTCCCTTGCGCCGTCAGTAACCGATAACCGATATTTCCACATATACAAAGCCCCATTGTCACTTATTGTGACACCAAACTTTTGTTGTGATGGGAAAACACTGCAGCGGTGGTCAGCTGTCAACGATCCGTCGAACGTTATCAAAATTGGTTTATTCTGTTTGAGAGATTGAGGTCAATGCAATTATTATGACCAACCTAAAATTAAGAATAACCGATTGGACATCATTGTTTTCTCTTCGAATCCTCCACTGTGAGATAGGTCAATCAATAAGTTTCGTTCGGTTTTTGGAAATTTATCAAATTGTGATTGTTGCGTCAGTTGTTTTTCAATATACCTTAGAGACAAAGGTGCATTTATCCTGCTCCAAATTCTGGTGAAAACAAAGAATGGACAAATGTATAAATATTGGTGTGGAACAAGAGACGAACCACTTCCTTGCAAGCTCTCCGAGTGATACGCAGCGAGTTCAACCGGCTCCTCCGAAGTATTTCCCGTCGATATCCTGACATCACCCGATAAACCATCACCATGAAGCTCCTTCTTCTACTGGCGGCGGCAGTTGCCCTAGCGAGTAAGTCTGAACATCTTTATTCATCATTGTTGTTGCAGTCTATTAGACTCTTTTATGGATTGTCGCCACACTGCTGGATGTGTTGCACAACATTCTGGGACAGTTTTCACTTTTTTCTCGTAATTTCACGATACAACCTAATATATACCTTCACTGCACACTTTTGGTTCGTCCGTAGACAGTTTACATCTTGAACACTAAACCTAGAACTAGTTTTACTAATTACTTACAGCTTATTGACAGTCAGAACACACTAATCAGGTTTACCAAGAACATATCTCTTTCAAAGTTCTAGAGATGTAAGTCGATTTACACCTGCATCTGTCAACATAAAACATTACTTGTGATTTAGAAGCATGTTATTGCAATAGTGCAACAAAGCAACAATAAAAGGATGGAATAATATCATGTTTCGATGATAATAATAAACTTATATACACTTCGCAATATGAAAACTTGCACAACATGAAAATCGCCGAAATGAGATCTTCACTCAGAATTCCTTTCACGGGTTGTTAGAAGGGTAGAGTTTGTATTCTGTATTATTGCTTTCTCCGCAGACGGCGCAGCATCGCGTGACACTACCAGTGTAATTCAGTTTGGCAATATGATTCTGTGCCTTGTGGATCTGGGTGTCTGGGATGGGCTAGAATACAACGGTTATGGCTGTTACTGTGGCAAAGGAGGCTATGGCACAGCGCTGGATGCTACCGACCAGTAAGAATCAATCACTTGGAATCTCCAAAAACACCTGCTACTAACCTTTGTCATGCAGCCACAATTTCATTCGTGTTCCCTGAATGATAATGTTCTTTGTGTGCCAAAAGGAACCAGACTATTATTCCTTCTAGCCTTGCTTTCGTTACCATGCTTTGAATGGAAAAAATCACGATGGCCGCAACATGATAATGGTCTATTAGCTACATATTTAAACTGCTCAATCCCAGAAAAATAAATAGTTTTCAATTCATTTTTCTAAAACTTAACTGTGAACTTCCAGAGCAGCTCGCTAATAAATTCAAGCTTATTTGCGAACATGCGCAGAGGCATGCAGAAATGTATTTACGGAACACAGATGTCGTTTCACGACGCTTATCCTGAATTCAGTCGATCATCCAACCGATGAAGACACGTTTCTTGTATTAAACGTAATATACATACCAGATAATCAGCTTGTAAGCTCAGATTCACAACAGTCATGTGGAAACATTTCATTGAGTTCAAGTCGAGATATGGTTTTTTGTTTTTGATTGTAGATGCTGTGTAGAACACGATAACTGCTACGGTAGAGCTCCAGTGGAGGGCGGATGCAATACCTTGGATACCTACCTGATCGACTACGACTACGAAAAAACCACTGACGCTAATGGCAACTGTGCCATCAAATGCAGTAAGAACTTTTTAAAGACATTATCTTTGTAAACGCGCTTAGGATGCAAAAGTTGTACATCTATACTAGAAAATAATGTCGATGATGTCCAGCGATCAGACAATCGACTGACTTGACATCATTGGCGAAAATCATGCAATATGATCAAAAGGTTGGGCGTGATTCCTCATTGTTTTCTCATAAGTTCTAATATCCACTGCGCTGAAACTTCGGCTGGTTAGGCTTTGAACATTCCTCCTTGGTTTCCGAGTGGTGTTATCATTGGAAAAGAACAAACCACAAGGAAAGCAAATGATCCTATATACCTTCCAAAAAGCCTACGCAATATTCTAGACAAGCTTAAGCCTCCCTGCACACATTGCAAGTTAATGTGTTTTGTTTCACTTCGTTTGTGATTTTCTTTCATCTTCTATCTTTTCAGTAAGTGAACACCTGTGTTTAGGTTTTATTTAATAATTACTTATGGTGATAGCGTGACTTGGGTAGACTATCCTTGAGGAGGGTGAATCAACTAAAGACCATCGTTTTAAAGTCTTTCCTTTCTCTTTTGTCCCTCTTTCTTGCAGAGGCAGAAGCCGACTACGGGTTTTTCTCCATCAATTCCCAATGCAAAGCCTTCATGTGTGAATGTGACCGCAAGGGGGCGGAGTGCTTCGCCGCCAAGCGGGGCTCGTTTAACCCCGACTATGTCAACTATGACAAGAACGGTAAATGCTGAGCATGTAGGCCTACTCCCGAGGTTGGTCCGAACACAGCGATTTCAAATCCAGAGATACCCTTTTAGGGATTAATTCCTCAGTAATAATTTATTCTTTAAACCTAGTTATCAAAAAATGGTAAAAGGTCTATAAAAATTCAATTTCGGCCTATAGGCTGAATATTAATTTGCATGATTATTATTAATTTGCAATTCAGAAAGTTTGATTAACCAATACAAATATTTGTATCAAAAAAGATGAGCAGGATTTCTTTTGCATCTGCTTTAGCACAGAATGTCAGAGTACAGACTAGATACTCAGGCTTAATTGTTTTGACAATATACAGTCAGCATTTTGTTTGTAATTGCAACGAACTGTAAGGATAACTACAATTTCCGCTCAAGTATTTCACTGAGAATGTAACAAAAACAAGTTTCAAAAGTGAGCACTAAAAGGGGCCCTTTTAACAATGATGCTCATGTGCTTTTTGGTCATTCAACTACAATATTTCTTGTAAAATGAGGCTAAAATAAATACGGATTAAATACAGATCGACTTTTAATCGGATCACAATGTTGAGGAAAATAAAAGAGTAGACATAGTAACCGCATAATGATATTGCGAGTTTTGTTTTATTGTGTCGAAAAGCATGCATGCATTTGGGGATTTTCTCAATTCGGGCGATTCACAATGCAGTGCGCCACCAAATGTTTGCCTCGGAGAGTTCATTTTTCCCAGTGCTTTATAGGAGATGGTCGACAATTTCGTAGCGCGGGACATTTGAAGTTGTAATTTGCCCGGTCAGTTGTTTCGTGAATGTTTGATTCGAGAATCAATTTGCCCTTTTGTATTTTTTTATCAATATGATGGGATTTTTAGGAGGCGGCGGAACGCTTTGCCCCAATGTATAACATAATAGCTCAAGTTGTCTACTGGCACTCATTCAAATGGGGCATGTTTTGTCGACGGTAAACTTGAAAAATGGAGTCTTCAAGACAAACTCTTGGTGGCGCACTGCATTGTGAATCGCCCGAATTCAAGGGTGAAATATTTTGTTTGGCAAGTCCTTACATTTGAATCTCGGCCAAATCTTGATGTTCATTCATTTCAACCATGGTTTGTCTGGAGCGGTTTTTGGTTGTCATATTAGTTCGTGATGATGCATTCCGTGTACAGTGCAGCGGCTTCGCTCTTGAACACAGACTTTAAAAGGTAATGCTGCCCCCGGTGAAATTTATAAAAAGTTATGAGATCTTCCTTTTTGTTTGGTATCCTCGAGTCACCATAATTGACGCATATAACGCTTGCAACGCGCGCGCGTTGTCAAACGCAAATTGAATGCGAGTGCATCAAAACATTGTCCTCGTCGTTTTAGGTGGACTGACAATATATATTTTTTTGCAAAGAACACTTTTTGAACGTTTAAAATGTTTTATGCTGTCGTGACACATGAGGGCGCCTTTGCTATGCTTTCAATTTAGGAACACACTGTTCATATTAGGATGTTTCTCTTCAAATGAAACCCCAAAATTCTGCTCATTTAGAATATTAAGTTTTCCTATATTGTCTTAGCAAAAATGAGGAATGGGAATCTACCATTTGCCAAGGGGGTGTCACGAGTGTGAGGGGCATGTGTAAATGCAAATAAATAAAGGAGCGTACCATTTTTATGGTATTGAATTAAATATACGTGATTGAATGTTTACAAGCAATACATGGAACGCTCTTCAAATGTGTGACAGGCGTAAAAAGTATTCCCCCCCCCCTTAGATTCATTCTGCAAACCTGTATTTCCTATTCAAATCAACTTCTTCAATATTCATTCTCAGTGACCAATCACTTTCGCCGTTACCACAATAGAGACTGGGAATAAAACGGGGCGCGGCCTGCGTTAGCGTCATTCCAACGCTTACTGGATCCGAGGGAGCGCCTTGTCTAATCGACTTTCCCTTTCCCGTATTTTCATCTTTCAGGTAATTATTTGATTTTATAATATTTTTCACTTCCCATGGTTGGTTCAATCTTCATGTAATCTAGTTGCATTTTTCGTCGTTATGATTAGAGATTTAGATATTGTGATGTTAAGATGATAAGGTGGACGCTGTTAGATGACCTGTTTATATCGTATCCGTTACTCGATTGTCTTGAAAGAAGTCGTTTTAAAGTTTGTGTTGTTAATTTCCTAAAGTTTTCGTCGTTTGTTTTCCCACATTTTATTACATTTCCAGGATTGCAGCCGTATAGGTAATTTCTGGCGGGATACTGACAATATTTTCTTGAATATGAAATATAATGTTTGGGGTTTTGGTTCCACTTTGTTTTGACTCACCCTGTATAATAATTATTTGGCTTAATTCCTATTTATGATTGTAATTTTAAAAATATTTCTAAAATCATTCAAATGCTGAACGGATCCGAAGGAATACCTTGTCTCATCGAGTTCCCTTTTCCCGTATGTTCATCTGTCAGTGAGAATAAGTCACCACTGAGACGCAGAATTACGCAAATGTAAGAATGTATAATGTTGTCTTCTGTCCTGTATAATGTATAGTATACTTATGTACGTACATTTGTTTTGTAATGTATATAATGGAGGGGGTATTATGTATGAGACTTTTGTAGTGCAGAAAATGGTCTATACATCTGAATTGAGGGGATTTTTTAAGCCGTACACGTATCCCATACCAGCACTATTTCTAATTAGTCCACATCAGTGCTAAGTCGTCGAAGGATGGCAAACAACAACGAGCATGTCCAGGGTTTGTCCAGGGGTCTGTTCAGTCTTCCGTAAGTACTGACACACTATACATTATACAGTACAGAAGACAAAATGATACATTTTTTACAATTAAACCACCGTTCCGTGTATTTTGTTTGTATACGTACGTTTATTGTACCGGTATCCAATACCATATGAAAATGGCAGGCTACTTGTACTTGAGTTATTTGCATTTACGCATGGCGGGACGTGGCGGGGTAAATGCGGCCTTCAAATTGGTCAAGGGCACACAAAAAAGAGAAAATATCCTGGTTAGACCTTGATCAAGGGCCTACTATGGTAGATTGTGTTTTAGTCCCTACCTGATGATTCCGTAGGTTTTACCTAGAACATTTTTCTGGGCTTTTCCTCCCACCTCTAAAACTGTAATTTCTTCTCATTGTCTTCTCTCCACGGGTTTCTTCAGGCTTTCGAGCTGCAGGGCCAAGGGCGCTTTTGAGGAATCCTTGGTTTCATTACCAGCCAGATATTTGTAAAAAAAAAAAAAATTAAAATTACAAATATTGTTGTACTTTTCTTTCTCAAAACAAAAGTTAGAAAAATGTTGTTTGTACTTCTCTCACGTTTCTTTGAAAACCTCTGCTTTATAGCCAACGATCATTTACATATTCCGGGTTTTTTTTCAACAGATCAGTTGCAATGAAGGCTTTTAGTTTTACACGCATTGTGCTTATGGTGTGCGTGGGCTGCGTCTTCCCAGTTGAAGGTGAGTAGACTATAAAAAAACATTACAGTGGATAAGTTATGAACACATTCATATAGACGCTTTCTTTTTTTGCAACAATTTATATACATTTTAACAACTGAAGCAATTCAAACGTTTAAATTAATTACTTGGTTACTTATCGTCAGCCGATTGTTTTCGTACGATGTCTCAATGGAAAGTTTATAACTACGGTAATGCTAACAAATCTAGAATTAAATTTGAAAATCTATTTTTCAGGGTGCCTTACCATACCCAAAAAGCAATATGATCATATAATAACCTTATATTATATATTTCATTATTACTACTACCATATTATACTTTATACTTTATTATTACTACTACATTATGTATTTCTACACGTGGTTAGATAGCCCAAAGTCGTATTTCGGACTCAAAAATGGGATTAAAGGAAGGTATTTGTTTGTGCACAAGTCTATGGGAATGTGTCCTATTTTCGGTGATTAATATTTGTTTTAAACTCATAAGTTATATGTTCTTTTCCCACACACGTCGCACTCCAGCGGTGCCGATTGGTCCTGAGAGCGTGGTCGGGTTCGGTGAGATTGTTATGTGCTTGGGGGATCTGGGCTTTTCCGAAGGGTTGGCTTACGACGGCTACGGCTGTTACTGCGGCATAGGAGGCCAGGGCACACCGGTGGATGAAACCGACAGGTCCGACGCAAAAATCATCTCCTCGAATTCGTATTAGTCTCACAGTTAAATTCCAGCAAATCGACCCCAGCAAACTAAAATGGGTTCAAGTCAAAGTTTTAAACAGACGTGTCAATTATAGACCAGCTCTCTATTTATAAATTTAACTTTATATCTTCGTAAAAAAGCGCAGTTTGTATGAATCATCACAATGAATCCATGTAGACAAGAAAGTGTTGCCACGGTACAGCTTTTCTTCGGACATTAAACATAATTATTGAGGATTTTGCAACGTACTTAGAGCTTGCTCTGTATTAATGGAACACAGAATATCACAACGCTTATCCACAATTTGGTGGAACATCCGTAAATTAATGCAGTTAGTGTTATAATGTGATCAAATGCCGGAGATATTGATAGCTATTTGCTAGTGTAGAAACACATACAGTAGGTTGGAGAAGTTGCGAAGTTGAATTGCAATACCTTTGTCTATAGTTGCTGTCAAGAGCACGATGACTGTTACGGTAGAGCTGTAACAGCGGAGGGCAACTGCAATACCTTGGAAACCTACGCCATTCCGTACAGCTATACAAAATACACTGATGAATCTGGAAAATGTGCCATCAAATGCAGTAAGCGATTTTGTTAAAGATATTATCTTTGTAAACAAATGACGGTTCACGAATTCTACATCTATGCATTAAAGGTATATAGTATCATTTGCATTTATCCAAAAAATAACCCATCGAAGAAGCGTACTTTTCAAGATTGTACCGGTACTCAACATCCCATGAAAACATTCCATCGTTTCTAATAAAACTAGAAATGCAGGCGATGTTCAACGATCATCCAATCGACTGATTTTTGGAAATAGTTTTATTGACGAAATCATATTATGTGGTCAAAGTGTAGTGAATGGTTTTTCACTGTTTTCCCAAAAGTTGCAATATACACTGGGCTGAAACTTCAGCGGGTTAGGTTTTGAACATTCTTCTTTTGGATTTGAGCTACGTTTATATTAAACTCTAATTTCTCTCCCCTCCCTCCCCCCTCTCTCTCTCTATCTGTCTCTCACCATCCGTCTTTTCTTTTTGTTTCCAGAGGCAGAGGCTGACTACCCTTGGTATTCCATCAATCCCAAATGCGAAGCCTTCATGTGTGAATGTGACCGCATGGGGGCGCAGTGCTTCGCTGACAAAAGGTCTTCATATAACCACGACTTCGTCGACTATGACAAAAACAGCTGCTAAATACTGAGACATCTTCCTGAGGTTGCACCGAAACAGAGTGATTTCAAATTCGGAGATAGCCTATCAGGGATTAGTTCTTAGCTTGTATAATTGATTGTTTAAATTTGGTTTACCTATGGTTGAAACGTAATTGTTCGGCCTCAGTTGGAAATTGATTAACCAATATGATTAACCAATACAAATTTTCCGCAAGACATTTAACAAATGCCTCTGACGGCAACTACAGATGAGCATTTTTTAAGCTTTCTTATGATTCCATTGAGATATTGTTACGGTACGGGCTGTGAGATTGTCTTGACTCCAAATGCTGCACGCTCGGCCATTTTGTATGTAGTTGCAACAAACGGATAACCGCAATTCCCGCCCAATCATTTCACTGTGAATGTAATTAAAAAAAATTGTTCAAAAAAATTGAGCATAAAAAGGGGCCCTTTACACTAATGCTCATGAGATTTTATATAAAGACTCCATCTATTTCTTTGGAAAGAAAGGCTAAAATTACACGGATTAAATACAAATCGTCTTTAAACTTATCGTAATGTTGAGGAAATTAAAAGAGTAGACATAGGTAACCGCATAATATATTGCGAGTTTTGTTTTTAATATGCCGAAAGCATGCATTTGGACATTTTCTTCAAGGGTAACATATTTACTTAGCAAGTCCTTACATTTGAATCTTAGGCAAATCTTGATATTCACTTACTTAACCATGGTACTGTCTGGGTGAGTTTTAGGTTATTGTATCAATTACACGATGAAGCATCGACTACGAGCCTGGCTGTTAACACCAAATGTGCTCACTCGGTTCCTTTGTTTGTGCGTGCCACACGTGCACCCGACGATCACAGGATATAACCTCATCTGACACTAAGGGGCGCTCTTCAAAATAGCTTATTTTGATGACAAGATTGACAAATTTCATTTGGGTCTCACAGCCTTTGTTGCACTCACACGCAAGCCCCTTGTTATCCACTTACCATCTTGCTACACATTGGAGGCTCCATACCTTAATGGATGCAATTCCCCGACTTCAAAGGTTTTAAAATGGACAAGAATTTCCTCAAACACCAATGCCAGATTACTTGTAGTCTTGTTAAACTTCATTACACAGCACTTCATTTGTTGAATGGCCCTTATGGCCATTATTACTAACTGTAATTGGTCAGGTTCCGGAGGTTAACGTTGCACGCCGCTTACTGCAGCAGCTTTGCTCTTGCACCCAGACTCCTCGCAGGGGTGTGTAAAAGGTATTCTTTACTGATGATGTCATCATATCAAACCGCAAATAACATGTGCTTGGACATAAAATATAAACAAAAATTTATCATACGCAATATTCTTCTTCAAATAAGACATGGTTTTGAGATTCCTGAAAAGGATGTCAGTGTTTCTCGGGCACCACATTGGGCCCAAATAACACTGAACCCTATAGTTTTAAGGAGTTCTCATTATGGCAAGCCATGCACGCACTGCTAGCCGTGCATTGTAATGAGCACGGGATCGTATTCTGCTTATAATTATCTTTTCACATTGACAAAAAATTTGATATGACCACTGTACTTTCTTTCTCGAATAAAAAGTTCACTGTTATTTTAATAATTAATCGAACTTTTGCATGCGCAGTGAACTACAGCGGTTTATTCGTGGCGAAATAATGTATTTTTGATGGGGGAGACGTAAAAAACAAAACACTCATCCTTGCTGAAACGCAGACAGGTTTTTTTCACCGGTCATCTGGCTTCCGTAAAATTAGAAACGGGTTGGGGAGGGAGAGGGTGGGGTGGGGGGGGGGGGGGGGGGTGGGGGGGGTGGGGAGGGATGGGGGGGGGCAGGACACCATCCTTCTATAGAGGCGCTGTTCAAAACAAACGATCATGGGCATCATCAGACGATGGGTGGCGCTTTTCGTGATGGCACAATTGCCGGTCAGGTTCCGGAGGTTAACGATGTACGCCGCGTACTGCAGCAGCTTTGCTCTTACACCCAGACTCCTCGCAGGGGTGTGTAAAAGGTATTCTTTACCGATGACGTCATCATATCAAACCGCAAATAACATGTGCATGGACATAAAATATATACAAAAAAATTATCATACGCAATATTTTTCTTCAAATAAGACATGATTTTGAGATTCCTGAAAAGGAAGTAAGTGTTTCTCGGGCACCACATTGGGCCCCAAGAACTCCGAACCATAAAGTTCAGAAGTTCTCATTATGGCAAGCCATGCACGCACTACTAGCCGTGCATTGTAATGAGCACGGGATCATATTCTCCTTATAATTATCTTTTCACATTGACAAAAAAAAAATGATATGACCACTGTACTTTCTTTCTCGAATAAAAAGTTCACTGTTATTTTAATAATTAATCGAACTTTTGCATGCGCAGTGAACTACAGCGGTTTATTCGTGGCGAAGTAATGTATTTTTGTTGGGGGAGTCGTAAAAAACAAAACACTCATCCTTGCTGAAACGCAGACAGGTTTTTTTCACCTGTCATCTGGCTTCCGTAAAATTAAAAAAAGGGGGGGGGGAGGGGTGGGGCAGGACACCATCTTTCTATAGAGGCGCTGTTCAAAACAAACGATCATGGGCATTATCAGACAATGGGTGGCGCTTTTCGTGATGGCACAGTTGCCGACGTTTGTGCAACATGATGAAAGAGCACTCGTGACAAAAAGGGCACTCGTTAAAAACGGCGCCAGTTACACCCCCCTCTCCACAAACGGCACAGGATCGTGTTCTGCTTGTAATTATCTTTTCATATGGACAGATATTGATGACAGTTTTACCATTCTTTTTTTCGGAGAATTCATTTGTAATTTAATCATCATTCCAACTTCTGAGCGATGCGCACTTTGGGGGTTCTGGTAATATTCATAAAGAGTGGACAATTTCTCCCAGTCTCAGGCGCTGTCTGCATGCGTTCAGATCCATTTTCTACGGCTCTCACCGTCATATCAGTATAAGCTAGCTTGGCATTCGGTTGCGATTGTGATTTTGTCTGAGGATACGATCCAGCCTAAAAGTAAGTGTAGAAGAGTAAACTACCAAAATCTGCAAAAGCAATTTCAAACTAGAGTTTGAGGACAAACACACGGTGTTGGGCTAGAGGTTTGGCTTTTTCGCATTGTTGACTGTTGATTCTTGTTGTTGATTGTTAATGTTGATTGTTGATTGTTGGTTGTTTATGTAAATGTTGATTGTTGATAGTTGATGTTGATGTTGATTGTTGATTGAATTTGACGGTGGTTGTTCATGTTGATGTTGATTGTTGATTGTTGATTGTTGATAGTTGATTGGTGTTGTTGGATAACGATTATTGATGTTGATTGTCGATATTTGTTGATGTTGATGTCGATGTTGATGTTGATTTTGATTGGTGATGTTGATGTTGGTTGTTGATTGTTGATTGTTGATGTTGACTGTTGATTGTTGATTGTCATGATTGTTGATGTAAATTGTTGATAGTTGATTGCTGATGTTGATTGTTGATTGTTGAAAGTTGATTGTCGAAAGTTGATTGTTGATGTTGATTGTTGATGTTCATGTTGATGTTAATTGTTGATTGTTGATGTTGATATCGATGTTGATTGCTGATTGATGATTGTTGATGTTGATGTTAATGTTGATTGTTGATTGTCAAAAGTTGATTTTTGATGTTGATTGTTCATGTTGATATTGATGTGGATTGTTGATTGATGATTGTTGATGTTGATTGTTGATGTTGATGTTGATTGTTGATTGTTGAAGTTGATGTTGAGGGTTGAGGTTCAATTGAGGGTTGAAAAATAGCGCGTGTAGTTATTATACAGAGGATAGTTTAAAAAAGTCAGGTGAGGATCTGCACGCGCACATGCTGCTGTACTGTAAACTTATCAAGTACAATTGTTACAAAAACCCTTTAAATAGCTCATATCTCTAAAAGTAAAGGTCGCACACCATTGGCGCAATACAAAATATTGCTCGCCATACTCTCTTCACCCCAATGCGCATGTTTTAGCGCACAATTTCAAAAAAGCGCCCAATTAGGCGCTTTTGCCAGCCCAATTTTTGAGTATCATATGACGTCATAAGAAGTCAAAAATGTGCTTGCGTTAAGAAGTTGTCATAATAAACGTGTACAAAACACTGGTAAACACTTAAAATACATCGGTTCATCAAACAGCCGTTACATGTAGCTCAATAGTTAACATACAACAGTCGTAAAACCAGACACTCACGAAGCTAGCACGGGGATTTCCCTTTTGTACGTAATCTGCTGTAAACACAATGTACGTGGCATGAAATGAGCGTTTCAAGACATAGGCGTGTTCAACTTCAAATTTCAAGGGGGCTGCAGGATATTTTTTCGTTAATGTATTGAAAACAATCTTTGGGAAGTTTTAGACCTATTATTAAAGTGCCATTTTAAGCACAAAACTTGATTATATCTTTGACGGTTGATTTTTTAGCAATTTTCAAAGGAAACTAGTTTTTTTCTTTGTAACTTCCGGTCTGATGACGCAATCAATTTTTTTTTTCCTGCACAGGCCTTGTCTGCATTAAGGTCATCATGTATAATAATTTTAAAGCGATTATCGCAAATTTCGCCACAGACTTCAACTGAAAATGCGTTTTGGACATTTTTTAACCTGCCGCTAGAGGGCGCTCTAACTGTTCATGACGTCACCGATCATTTTTTTGAAAAGTTCAACCCACCCACAGACTTACATCGTTAAAAGCAAGTTCATATCTTTTTCCACTTTCAAATTATTAGGCACTTCCGGTTTCGACCGGAAGGAAGGGTCACGTTATTTTGCACGCACAAGATTAATTGAAGATCATGTATTATCATGTAGATTCCCGCAAAATTTAAGTTTCGGTCTCTGACGGTTGATTTTATATTGAATTTCAAAGATTGAATTTATTATTTTTCGAAGTGACGTCACGTGACCCATGATGACGTCATGCTGACGTAATTGCAAAAAAGCACATCTTCAGTGGCTTGTGCATTCATCTATTGACAATTGAAGTTCATATATGTTTTCATTTTGACAAACAGTTCCGGAGAAGAATTTTCAAATTTTTGCAAAGGAGAATAGTCAACAAACACAAAAATACACTAGAGTTTGAGGACAAACACACGGTGTTGGGCTAGAGGTTTGGCTTGTTCGCATTGTTGATTATTGTTGTTGATTGTTGATGTTGGTTGTTGATTGTTGATGTTAATTGTTGATGTTGATGTTGATTGTTGATTATAGTTGATGGTAGTTGTTCATGTTGATGTCGATTGTTCATTGTTGATAATTGATTGTTGATACTGATTAACAATTATTGATGTAGATTGTTGATGATTGTTGATGTTGATTGTTTATTGTTGATGTTAATGTTTTTTTGTTAATGATTGTTGATGTTAATTGTTGATTGTTGATGATGATTGTTGCTGTTGATTACTGATGTTGGTTATTGATGTTGAATGTCAGATTGTTGATGATAATTGTTGATGTTAATGTTGATTGTTGATGTTGATTGTTGATTGTTGATGTTGATTCTTGATGTTGCTGTTGATTGTTGATGTTAATGTTGATTGTTGATG